AGTGAGATGGCCCGGCAGGTAATGGCATTTGCCCTCAAGCCTGAGGACCTGAGTTATGGGTTCAGACTCCAGCACCTACGGGCAAAGAGTGAATCAACTTCCACAAATTGTCCTTTGACTGCACGTGTGCCATGGCATGTGCATGGACATGATACATACAAGTACATACATGTACATAACATATACAAGTTGAGCATCTCTGGTCACTAAATCCAAATGTGAAATGTACCAAATTCTCTTCATTTTTTCTCCCTTTCTTTCTTTTGAAACAGTCTCACTGTGTAGACCAGGCTGGTCCAATCTTGTTATGTAGTTCAGGATGGCCTTGAACTCTTGATCCTCCTGCCTCTGCCTCTCAAGCGCTGAGATTCCAGTTTGGGGCCACCACATTTTGCCAAAACGAACACCTTTCTGAGCACTGATGTAATGCCTCAAATGGAAAATTCCACACCATGGAACCCTGCTCTGCATGCAGTAATTAAACTGTCAAGTAAATACATACCTTCTTACAACCCTAAGGTTGTACAACATGTAAAGAGGTATTCAAAAGTCTCAAGTTCTTCTGGTTCTGAGCATGTTAGAGCTGGATCCACTATCTGCCCAGAGAGCTTTGGTGTGTCTCAGAGAGCTTTGTGTGTTCAGACTTCTCGTGTCTGAATGCTGCATTCGCCCATAGCCCAGGGCTGCGAGGCTCCTGCCTTCAAGGGTCGATAGACATGCCTGTGTCCTGCCTGAGGCGCTCTCCTCCAGGCCATTTTAATGAACACAACCCATAGTAAAAAAGCCAAGGTATATGGGGGAGGGAGTGCCACGCCAGTCTCTGCTGAAAGGGGTACTTGTTTGAAGCCTGGGGCCGAAAAGGAGGTCCCTTGCTCTGTGACACCAGGAGAAGGTGTGTCAGACAGCTGCCAGGGCTGACAGCTGCGCTTGCAGGTAGGACTAGATCGCCGGCACGTTCACAGGGACATACTCACAGACAGCAAGGCTGCGGCTCGGCACAACTCCCCACGTCAAACCTATGTGTCCAGGCACCCTCATATCTGTGTGCTCATATACATGTAAAACATGCACATACACACACATGTGCACCACATGGGCTCATGAAGATGGAAACACAAAACAACAACACACGAGTCTACTCTTTCATGAGGACAAACTCAGAGGCGGACAGATGGCAGACTGGCTGAGTCAGCAACATGGCAGCCCCTCCCCGTCCCCCAGGCAGCCCCTTTCCTCTTCCTTGTCCTGTGAAGAGGATGTGGTTACAGGTAACAGAGCAGGTAAGATATTACCCATCAGGAAAGAAGGGCCCTTTCTCCCTTCTGTCCCTAGCAAAGAAGACTCTGCCACAGAGTCCCTTAATGCTAGCTGGGCATTGCAAAACTGAGCCCAAGAGAGCCACCGTGGCTGGCTGTCTCCACTGAAGTAGGCAGGATTCTTTAGAAGAACAGAGCTAATAGAAAGTATGCACATTAAAAAGGAGAACTGTAAATTAGCTTTCATTGTCAATGTAAGATGACTCTGCCCTCTGTGGGCAGCGCCATTCCCTAGGTTTGGGCTTGGACTGTGTAAGCACAGAGAGCTGGCAGTACGTACAGTTCTTGGCTCCAGGCTGTGGATGCAACTAGCTGTTTTACATTCTTGGTGCTATGACTTCCTGTCTTCATCCCAGAAAGACTGAGGCAACAGTAGTTGCTCCATCTACATCGTCTGAGTCCAGCACCGACGGCCTAAAGTTCCATGCAGGGTCACTGCTACCAAGTCTCCCTTCAAATGCCCAGGAAGTTGGAGTCTGAGGTCAGCCGACAGCAGCAGCAGCCATAAAGAAGTGCCTCAGAGAGGGGCTTGGACGTGTACTGCCTTCCTCTGATGCCTTCCTTACCCGGGCACTCGCTTGTTGAACAGTTCTGAGAGACTGTCTTCTTTCCAAGGCCATCTCCTCTGGAGACATCTCCTCCCCTAAGACTGGATCACCACTCTTATGCATCTATCAATCCAGTCAAGGTGACAACCAAGACCAATCATTATATTCACTAAGATTGACCTCAGAGAAGTCAAGATACAGCTGATGCCTCAGACCCAGAGGAGATAAAGCCGTGAACCAGCCGTGAGTGTGGCCAAGCTGATGTTTGATTCTGGGCCAAAACCCAATAGGACCCTCCCACAACCTGCACCACGGGTTGAGTTCCCACAGCCCCTTTCTGGTCTCTGTATCTCCGATGCTAGCTTCCCTTTGGGCCTCTGTCTTCATCTCCTGCTGCCCTTTCTGGGCTCCCCAAGCTCCTTTGTGCTGGGGCCTGGTTCTCCCCCCACCTCCCACACCATTTTCTCGCCTCCATCTGAAGCCTCCGTGACTAATTTTTGTCTCATTTTAAGATCATATTTCCTTGAGGTTTACCGTGAACACAAGACAGCTTTCTGCAATTTACCTCCATTTCCTGTGGTAAATCTTTTTCGAAAATGTGTTTTTCCTCAGGGGGACAGAGCCTCCCCCTCCTCACTGCAGGATGTGGCCTACCATGTCAGAGGGTTCATTTTCGGGGCTCACCCTGTGACAAAGAGATGTCTGCTCCAGCCTAGAGTGTGAGTGTGGGGGATGCTGTTTGGGTCCCTCCTGGCCAACCTGGTTGCTATTAGACCCTCATTTCAGATGGTGAAGCAGAGGCCTTGGCCGTGAACATGCAGCCCAGAGCCAAGTCCCCAGCTTCTGGCAGCCATTTTCTTGCAGGTCTGCGCTGGCTCCAGAGACTTCTTCCACTTCTGCTGCCTGACAATCTAAAGGGAAATTTATTCACAGATAATTTGAAACAGTCTCAAGCCCTCCCGACGCCAGAGAGTTCGAGTAGAAAATCTACAGGCCCCAGAGGGTAGCGGCCCACAGCTATTCCTGTCTTGGCCTGCCCCTCTTCCAACTTGACATCCCAGAAAACCCCAACTCCCATTCAGTCACTGCAACCCAGGCCAGAGACATTACTGTGTGGGGATGGAGAGGGACAGGCAAGATATGGGCTCTCTATGGTACCCTCTGAACAACGATAAGGCTGGGGCTAGAAGACTATGTATTTATTTATTTGTGTGTGTGTGCACACGCACACACACACACACACACACACACACACCAGTGCCCTTCAGTAGAGGTCAGAGAACATTCTGCAGGGGTCAGTTCTCCCCTTCCACCATGTGAGTCCTAGGGATTGAGCCCAGGTCATTAGACCCACTGAACCGTCTCGTCTGACTGTTTATTCGTGACCAGGCCCTCAGGCTACCAGGCCAGCACCCTGTCACTGAGCTACATCTCAGCCCTCAGCCCTCAACAAGCTTCTGCAAGCACTGACAGTTCTGCGGCCTTCTACCTGACCACCCAGCTGGTGGCCCTCGGTGCTCCTGCCTGTGGAGGGTGGCAGGCAGGACGCAGTGAGAACCCCTGGCTTCCCCTCTTCTGGTTTATTTTGCTGATGTGCAGAAGAGCAGAGAAAAAATAAATCCGGGGCTTTATTTGTCTCCACATGGGTCTCCAGCTGGTTCCTACTCTGGGATCCAATCTCTGCTGGTTGCTGGGTCGCCAGGCGGAGCTGGAGATATCTTTCCCTGAGGTACCTCAGACAGCCACAGTCCGGATGGAGGCTTGCCATTTACAGATTCCAAGGACAGTAGTCTCACAGCCCTGGCAGTCTGGTGGCAGCTGCTGGCTTCCCTTTTCCTCCTCACTCCTGGATTGGAAACTCAGCTAGAGCCCCATCAGTCCCCCCCCCCCCCCCGCCCAGATCTTATTTCCTTATCTCTGCCTGCCTGTTCTCACACCAGGGAAGGGGGAGGAGAGACTCCAAACCCTGGGATCTCAGGTCATCCCTGCTAAGGCTAGCAATCTACCTCTTCTAGAGCGAAGAGCTCTTTCATTCTTTGCAGGGGCAGGTGGCAGGCACTCACTGGTCAGCTTCTCCCTTCCTGGTCAGTCCTCCAACCCAGGATACCCTGGCATGAGCATTTCTCTGTAAAGTACAGTTCCTCAGGTTGTGGTGACCCCCAACCATCCAATTATTTTTGTTGCTACTTCACAACTGTAATTTTGCTACTATTATGAATTATAATAGAAAGATCTGATGTGCAGGATAGCTGATAAGTGACCCCCAAAGCGGTCGCTAACAACAGGTTGAGACCTGCTGCTGAAAAGGGAGAGAGCATTGTGGGTGTTAAACGCAGGTGGTCTGAAGGACTCCAGGCTGGGGAACCCAGCAAGGACACCTCAGCTCTGCTCCCCAGCAGGCTTCATCATTGCATGGATGCTGACTGTGTCGCTGCTGACTAAACTCCATGTAAACTCCACGTCCTTTGTTTCCCCCAGGAAACCCACATGCTTTAGAGAATGCTAACACAAGTGTTCCAGAGGCTTGGGGAGCCAGCGCCTTGCCTCCACCCCCACCATGGGCTTTCTGTTATACTGGCTTCTCCAAAGGTTGTTAATATGATTTCATTTCTGTGGGGTTACTTTTCTCACATATGTGTTTGTGTATGTGCACACAGAGGCCAGAAATCAATGTTCAGGTCTCTCTCTTTCCTCTTCATTGTTTTCTGTTCTTGTGGTTTTTTTGTTTTGTTTTGTTTTTGTTTTTTTGTTTTTTGTTTTTTTGGCAGTGTCTCCTGTATCCACTTCCTCAATTACGATAACAGTTATGTGCCACGGTACCCCACTTTGTACCAGAGTGCTGGGGACCCCATCTCAGGTCCTCATGCTCGTACGCCAAGGACTTTGCTGACGAAGCCCTCTCCCCAGGCCCCACTACCTTATTTTCTTTCACACATTTACTGGCTTGGCAGTTTTTTATCACTTTGTCAATGAGAAGCGGAAACTGAGGCCAGGAGAGATAACGGCGTTTGGAACAGATAGGAAAATGTGTTCTTTCCTGATGCTTGAGTTGATCTTTGGGGCAACCCCACCGAGCAAGGGAAGGAAAGATGCTGGCTGGTGACACGGGCCATCTGCTCTGTCCTGCCATCTTTGAAAGCCACATTCTCCTTCCTACAAATTGGAAGCAGAAGATCAGAGAGGTTAAGCATGGGTCAAGGGCATACCACTGCTAAACAGCGGGCTGGAAGGGGACCCAAAGATGCTTCGCATGGACGCTGGAGCCTCTTCCCAACTGCCTGTGCGCCCTGAGGCTAATGGATTCTGGAGAGAGGCTATGAAGGAGAGTAGAAAAGTACATGGGTCAAATAAACCAATTTCCTGGCCTGCAGGACACTGCTGAGGTGAGCAGAAATTCTCCACCTGATTTCCCACAGTGGCTTTTAAACTCATGCATAAATCCCTACAGAGTGTGGGGAGGAGGGAGAGGAGGAGGGAGGGAGGGGGAGAGAAAAGGATGGCGGGAAGGAGAGAGAGAGAAGGATGAAGGGAAGGAGAGAGAGATCTGCATTTTAGTTTGTTTTGGAGTGGACAGAGTGGAACTTATTTTGGCAATGGGGATAGAGGGGCTTTGTATATGCTGGGGCAAGGACTGTATAGCTGAGCTACACACCAGCCTTCTTTTAAAAAATATTACAGCTATTTGGGGTGGGTTGTGCACCTACCATGACACACACGGGGAGGTTAGAGAACAAGCTGAAGCTTCTCCTTCCACCCTGTGAGGTTTGGGGGACAGAATTCAGATCCCCAGAGCTGATAGCAAATGCTTTGGCCCTCTGAGCCGTCCTCAGCCCACCCCTAGCCCTGATTTTACCTTTTCTTTTGAGTCATTCTTTTCAACCTCAGACTGACAGAACCGCAAGATTAAAAACGTCGTCTTGTTTACAGCTCCGCCTGGCCTCCAAGCCTGTCATCCCAACTCCTCTCGAGAGCCTGAAGCAGAAGGGTCATGAGTTCAAAGACTGCCCGGGCTACAGCCTGAGCCCAAGGCCAGACCGAGCAATTTAATGAGGCCCTGACTCAAAATAAAAAGTAATACAAAAGAGCTGGGGGCGTGGCTCTGTGGTAGAGCACTTGCTGAGCGCGCGCGTGAGGCCCTGGCTTCCATCCCCAGCAGTGCCAAAGACAGAAAGAGAAGCAAAATCAGTTTGACACCGTCACACACATCAGACACAAGTCACAGCATGCAGCCACACATCCAGCTTGCCTGGCTGGGTCACTGCAGGGCTCACAGGCAACGATGCAGAGACACTTGGCCCTGAAAGGTGAAAGACTGAAATTGCCAGTTTCGGTCACACACCGGATGATGCAGCAAAGCCCTACTACAGTCAGAAGTCCCCAAACTCACAGAAGGCCAGGGTAGCCCGTGGCCCTGCTTGCACGCTTGGAAACCCATCGTTTCCCCCAGAGCAACAGTTCCCATCCATTTTATGTGAATTCTTCGGAGAAAGCATTCCTTCCCCCCACCCCTCAGTTTTTCCACCAGTGCGGTGTGAGGCTTCAGGCCAGGAAAGAGCAGAAACTAAAAGTATCACTCAACTTTGGAATGCAAGAGAAATTAATTAAATCCAAATTTGCCCCAGAATGCTGGGAGTTGAACGCCACTCAAGACAGACTTGCGATCCGGATTGGATTTCAAAGCCGTTTCTGAGAAACCTCTGGGAGCTGTTTTGCGGCCCACGGCAGAGATGGAGTTGCCTGGCACAAGCCCACAGGGCAGGTGGGAGACCTGTCTCGAGCTCAGTGACACTGGGACGGCCTGGCGTGAAATGAAAACTGGGGAGAGTTGCTGGGCAACACAGACCTGATGCTGCTTGGACCAGGGCCTGGATTTGCCAGCTGAGTGGGTGGTGGCTCTGTTCATTTGTAAGGAGCCAAGCAGAGAAGACAGGGCGGCTTTACCCCGAGGAGCAGAAGGGAGGGGCACTCCCACCCAGGCAAGGGACCACAGGGGATTTCTTTCAGTAACTTATAAAGATTCTCCTGGGGCATAAGTGGATCCCCTGGGAACACCTAGTATTATAAAACCCACCAAAACTGTACCCATCTGTTCTCCAGTCATTGCCAGGAGGCAGCTATAGTGAGGATCCCAACTACAAAAGGCCTCGGTAGACCTGGCTCCACCATCCTACGCAGGACTTACGGTGGTTGGTTGCCAGTTATCCACAAGCATGAAGAAAGGAATGTGTACACACCCTATAAGAACGACTGCATGGTTTTCAACACTAGCTGGGTTCAGACGACGTTTAAGTCCCACCGGCCATTTATGCCTGCAGTGGATCCCTGGGATGTGATGGGAGAGAGTCACTCGCTCTGCTTTACTTTCTGAGTTTTTCTTCACCCTTTTGATGAACCTGGTGAGGCATTTGTGGGGAGATTGACACAGGACACACAGTGAACGGCACAAAGCCATTCACTCCGGAAGCGTACCTCTTTGAAGTCGGAGTGAACCCACCAGGCAGATGGGCATACATGTCAGCCAGCTGCTGGAATGTGACACCACAGGGTGCGTGATGGTGATCTAGCGTGTTGGGAGGGATTGCTTGGACCGCCAACTTGAGGCCACCCAGATACCTGGAGAGAGCGTCTCAGTGTGGGATTGTCTAGACCAGGCTGGCCAGTGAGGATGTCTAGGTGGGCCTATCTTATGTGAACTGATGTGGGAAGCCCCCGTCCCCTGTGGGTGGCACCATTGCCTAGGCAGGGGGTCCTGAACCGTGGAGAGAGTGAGCTGAGCACAAGCCAGCCAGCATTTTTCCTTGCTCTTGTGGCAGTGATGTGACCAGCTGTGTGACATTTCTGCCTTGGCTTCTGCACGTGATGGACTGGAACCTGGAACTGAGAGTGGAGAGCAACTTTCTCCTCTAAGTTGTCCGCTGTTAATTGCAGTCAAGAGACTAGAGCACGCTGGTGTCTTGGCGCTTGTCCAGCTGACATGCCTTCTAGTAATAAACGTGATGGACTTTATCTTTCCTCGGGAAATTTACCTTTCTGTGTCTTCTTTAATGATGGGGTGCTAACTAATGTTTCTGGACTTTGTTGACCTTTGAATCGGGGTCTCCAGCCCAAGGCAAACCTCGAACTCCTAAGAGCCAAGAATGACCTTGAACTTCGGATCCTGCGGCTTCTACCTCTGGATGTTGGGATGGCAGGCATGCACCATCACACCCAGGTTCTGGGGTGTTGGGGGTAGAACCCAAGCTTCATGCTTGCTATGTCCCTAGCTTTTAAATGACATTTAAAACCTCAAAATTCTCCCCTTCCGAGAGCTGACTTGACATTCGAAGGACATGAAGAGGTTGTGGTAAGCGCCCGGAGAGCCTGACCTCTGGACTTGAGTGTATTTAGCTCCCCTGGGGATGAAGATGTCCCCACAAAGCCACAGAGCTGAGTATTCCTGGGAGGTACAGGTCCCACGGAGTAGGCCTTGGTTGAGAGGTGGGTCAAATGGGATTGGTACCCATGGGATTCCAGGCGGCTCAGCGCAGGGGTCAGTCATTGAACATCTTTCTGCCCAGTTGGAAATGGAGCCATCAAGAACGAGCCCGTCGAAGGCTTGCTTGGAAATAAGAGAGCGCGGCTGGACTCTGCCCTCTCTCTGAGCGAGGGTTCAGACGCAGAGGGGCAGTACTGGGGTTAGCTAAGTGCGTAGCTCAGCAGTGGCATCAAGGACATCTCTCTTCACCGCCATCTCCGTGCCTGCCTCGTAGTCTCACCACGTCAGCGGTAGCTCCGGGCAAACATCCATGTATCATATCCAGTGGTCAGAAGGATCCATCTCTTCCTAGAGCTATGGAAGCCATGGACTCTTTCCCAGAGGCCCCCAGTGGAACTCTCCTTACAACCTGTAGACCAGAATTGGGGTCACACATCTCTGACTAAGCCGGGCAAAGGCAAACAGGTGGGCGATAGCTTGGCTTCAGGCAGTCAGAATTTACCCATGTTTAAGGTGAACCTTAAGGTTGAAGGGCACTGTTTTCTGCTTCCAGGAAAGACGAGTACCAGAGTAGGGTTGACAAAGATGGGTCTGACTGAAAACCAGAAAGAGCCAGCGGCAGCAAGGACGACAAGAGGCGCACACGGGAGGTGTGGAGAGAGATGGAAACTGCTCTGCAGCAAGGGACAGCTGAGTATCTGTGACGCGGTACCTCACAACCCCCCACTGTATTTCAGCATCATCCAGCCCCTTCCAGAGTTCCGGAACTCAGAACCCGCTTCAGCAAAATGCACATTGGCCCGACCAGAACCACACGCTCAGGCCCCAGTGCCAGACCTGCTGTGGAGGAACAGTGGGACAGGGCAGTGCCTATAGTGCACCTGCCCCAGGCCTGGCTTCGTGTCTCGTCCTCACCCTCCTGCCCTCCCCAGGGATGCTGCTGCTGGGTGTTTAGGTTTGATGGAGACAGGGTCTAGCTGTGTGGCTCAGGTTGACCTCCTGGGTTCCACTGATCCTCTAGCTTGGGACCATAGGGCTGCACAGTCTCAAACTCCAGTGACCTTGTGTGTGTGTGTGTGTGTGTGTGTGTGTGTGTGTATGTTCTCAAGTATGCATGGGCACATGTATGTGCACATATGTGGAAGCCAGAGGACAACCTTTGAGACAATGTCTGTCATTGGCCAGCGAGTTCCAAGGAGCCTCCTGTGACCACCTTCCTATGCTGGGATTAAACTGGTTATGGGAACAGAACACAGGCCCTGACTGTGGCAGCTTTCCAGCATCACAATTTCTAGTATTCATTTTTTTCCCCAGATGACTGATAACAGCCAGGGGAAGCTAGAAAAGACCTTGCCTGAGGCTCCCTAGTGGGAATGTGGAAGGGGTTGGGGTTTCACTAAGTCTGCCCACTAATAGCTATGGGTGGTGTTTGAGCAACACACACTCCATGGGTCTCTCGGAGTCTTCCTAGCACTCGGGGAACACACACCATTCGAGAGGCAGTCGATCAGTCTTCCTTTTGTTTAGAAGTCATAGCACCCGGGCTGGAGAGATGGCTCAGGAACTAAGGAGGCACACCTCTCTAGTCTCATCTCTCAGAGTGCCTGAACTCACGGGCACCACCTCCTCTCCCCCGACGGTTGCTGGGAAGAGCAGGAAGTGCTCCTGACCACTGAGCATCTCTGCCCTTTGTCAGGTGTTTTCTCAGAGCAACAGGAAAAGCAAACAAACACAGGGAGGTCTTCATCTCCTCACCCCTGCGAGACGCCTCCGAGGCCCTGGGCATCACAGCTTGTCGTGGCCAAGCACACACACATCATGGTTGGTGCATTGGAGGATCACTGCCCACCAGGTTCTTCCTGGGGACCTCTCTTGATCCGGCAGCAAAAGGGTTAAGCTGTCGATCTGTGGGATCAGCCTCCTAGCCCTAGCAGGTTACTCTACATGTGCTGGAGTAAGTTACATAGGGGAGAGGTGGAATATTATTTACAGTCTCACGCTTAGGAATTCTCAGTGGGCAGAGCCACCAGCCAGCGGGCCAGGGTCCTTCTGCCCAGTAGTGGGCAGATGATGAGGCTCCTTAGGTGCTGTCTCTGGCATCTAAGTGTTCCTCTAGTATTCCTCTAGTTTTACAGCAGCAGCAGCAGCAGCAGCAGGTGATGCCCCCTAGTGCCCCCTAGCGCATGCCTCTGGTAAAATCCCCTCTGCATTACAAGTGTTAACAGCCCCGTGGGTTCTGGGCAGTCAGGGTTAACCATTCTGGTTGGCACCAGTTTCCGTGCGGGCCTGGATGTGGGAATTCCTCAGCCCTTGACAGCAGCGATGTCCAGCTCTGCCTGTGGGATGTGTCCGAGAGTCTTGTCCCTCCAGACTCAGCAGCTCTCTTGAACTCAAATGACCCGGGCCTGCAGCTTCTCTTCTCTTGGTCTTTCCCGTCTTCCATCCCCCTGAGCCTCAGCTCTCTTCCTGTTCTTGCCTTCTCCCCTCCTCTGCCCCAGCCTCTTAGCTGCCTCCCGTTGCGAGGACACTGTCAACGTTGCCACCCTTCCGCTGCCACCATCTCTGCCGCCCACCCTGCAGCCGTCTTTGCAGCCACCTGCCTCACCCCTTTGTAGCCCAGCCTGCGAACTGCTCAGCTCCCGCTCTGCTGCCTATCAGGGCCACCAGCAGCTCTGTCTCACGCTGCCGCCCTTCAAGGCTGGTGCTCCCTGGTTCCTCCTCTGGGCCTTGGGCCCTGTGGGCCTCCTGTGGCCTCCCTGCTCAGGCAGCTCTGCGTCTGTCACCAGCACCAAGGCAGCTAGCTACTGAGCCTTCTGCAGCTCAGCATGCTGACTGCTCCACGTCACGGCCACTGTCGCCGTGCTGGGCTGTCTGTGCTGAGAGTGTTCCTCATCATGTTACTAGCTCAGCCTGTCCAAGTCACACCAATCACAGCAGACACTGCATGCAAATGAAGGTTCATGTTTGCACCTACGGCAGCTTGCCTCTCTAACCCCAGTCACTGCAGTCCCTCTGCTGGGCCACCAGGGTAGGTGTTGGTCCAGATGGAGGGTCATGGAGAGTTCAAGAAAGCTCGTGATAGTAAGGAGGCCAGTGTAAACTGGCTGAGACCCCTCCTGCAGGAGCTGGTGCAAGCAGCTGTGGTCGCTGGGCAGTTTCCCCAAGGCATCATGGAGTGCTCAGGATGGCTGATGCTGGCACAAGGGTAGTCAGGTGAGCTGTGTGATTGATTGACAGTTGAACATCCAACGGCTGGCCAGCAACCCCCCCTCCTGTATCTTTGCTTATCTACAGGAGAACGAGCAATAGCAAGAGTGCTCACAGCAGGAACACGGAGAACTCAGCAACAGCGACTGTGGTTTCTACACACTGTGATACTTCAACAGTGCTGAACCCCCGCCAGGACCCCAGGGATGGTGGACCCCTTATCTGTGGCTGGTTGGGGGCTCTAGGTAAGGAACAAGAATCTGGTTGCCTGGGCTGACTTCCCCCAGCATGGCAAGCCCACAGTGGCCGCCATGTTCTTCTGACCTTTGACCTAAAGACAGAGAGTAGGAGGTAAGGAGAGGAGAGCCTTGTCTGGACCCACCATTGGGGAAGGTGTGTTGATGTCAGGCCAAAGAGATGACAGTGAGCACTCCTGCCAGGGAGTCTGGAGGGATCTTTTGAGGAGGCTTGACGGCAGTCATCATCCTTGCCACCAAGTTGGACCCCAAAACACCAGGCTCAATAGAGGCCAATCACCTTTAATTCAAATGCTCCTGAGACTTCCTGAGTGCTGAGTCAATGTGCTAGCAGTCAGACACTCATACATACACACGTGCACATGTATATGCATACATATGAATACACCTGTACACATATGCATACATATGAACATGCCCACACATATACACACATACCCACATATGAACATACTCACACATACATACCTGTGCACATATATGAACATGTCTGCACACATATATACATGCACATATACCCGCACACATATGAACACACATGTACACATATGAGCAATACATACATGCATATCTTCAAACACATGCATACATCCACACATGCACCTGCACACATATGAACACCTGTGCACACATATGCACAGAAAGACAGAAAGAGGAAGGAACACTTTTCAGATTGACAGGTTAAAGTCAAACACTGAAAATGACAGGAAAACAAGGACTCTTTGAACAGTAAGTTGAAAGAAAACGCCAGCAATGGAGTGGAGCCAAAACATGAAAAACTGAGTAGAAAGAAATGTGGAGTCAGTATTGGCCGTGGCCATGACCTTGGGTGGCCTGGAGGTCAACCTTTACCTTCTCTCTGCCAGCCTCCAGTGCCCCTCTGGCTGGCAGTTCTCTTAATATTGTTCTTGAGCCTGAACTAGACTCCTGACTTTGCCAAAGTGGAGACGAAGGTGTGGTCTGGTTCCTGTCCCCTCCTGACCTCGGGTGCGCTAGCCACAGTGGGGAGTGTCGGGAGTTTGTCCACAGCTTTACAAATTTCAAGTTGTCCTAGGCCGAAGCCCGCC